TTTTTTTCTCTCTTGCTCAGTGCTATAATGCACTTGGCAAATATATATCAAATATTGCCAAACATTTAAATGTTTGGCACAGAAATTAATCCAACCCACTTTTGGGTTCATTTATTTTATTGTCATTGAAATATCAGTTATTTAGCCCCATCTGGGGCTCATTTTATTCAGTGCATTGTTGTTCATTTGTGTCAATAATGTGCTTGTACTTATGCATTTATTTTTCTGTGTTGCAGAACTCGTTTGTTCATTCTTTTGCTTGCTTGCTTTTGTTTGTTTTGCTTTTGTTCAATAAATCATTTGTTGGTTCATTCTTTCCTTCCTTTCTTCACAAAACTTGTCATCATTTTATTATTCTAATTATTTTGGGTATCTTCTTAAATTAAAGATAAATTAACTGATGTCCCTGGTCCTCCGAATTATTTAATATCCAACTTAAATTCACAAATTCTAACCATAATGTGCGTGAAAAAACAAGCGCCACAATTAAGAATATCTCTAAATAAATGTGTGTTTCATGTTTTATGACAGGAGGAGGACACTCAGAAGGAGGAAACTACCCGGAATAAGAAAAAAAGGAATGCTGTGTATGATGGTCCACTTGAAGATGATGTGGCAATGCTGTACGACAGATTTGCTGAAAAAGATCAAGGTATACAGCATTTCATTTTAATGCTCATATGTCTGTCAATGCATTTGTTACATTTTTTGTTTCATTACAGGGCATGGCTTGTTATCAATGCCACCTACCTGTTACCTGGACAAATCAGAAAAAGCTGTTGTGTACTTTGCAAGGTTTGTCATGTGGGCCTTCAGTGGACACACTGAGGTCTACAAAGAACTGCTGCATCAAACTCCAGATTACAATGGTTAGTAACATGAACAATAAATAATATGCATAACTTTACTTTTAAGTATTCTTTTCTTCTCTGCTGTCCACAGGAAAAAATGACAACTGGAGGAAACAGGCTTGTTCCTTCTTGTTTGATCAAGGGTTCCTCAAGTCACACTTCTGTAAAGCTGTCATCAACAAACAACAGGATTGGAAGGTCCCTAAGCGCTCTGTTCCAGGCGCATTGTCGCATGAGGCCATGGAATTTAAATTTCCAAATTTATACACTGGGAATTTGTTGGAAAACATCCTAGAAGAAGAAAAAGTCAACATTGCTTTAGGGGAGGCAAGTACAGGACAATATGCATAATGAAAATGTATGTAATGTTATTTTTTTAACTGCAGGACATGGAACTGGTTCCCTGTGTGCTGGTTGGGAAGAAGGTGTCAAGCCAGAACCACCTTCTTGGCCTCTTCATGAGATGCAATGATCTCCTGCTTCTGATAAGCAGGATTAGGAATTTTGCAAGGTGTGTTCTGGAGAACCACAGTGCATTTTTGGTGGAGAAGAAGGGAATGTGCAAAAAACCTAAAAGACAGCAGGTGAGTTATGTTATAATTTTTTGAATGACATGTATGATTTTTTTGTACCCTTGTTACGTACCCTCTAACACCACTGTTGTAGCAAAGTAATTAAATGTAGAACATAACTAGTACACTGTTACCCAACTGTAACATCATTGTTGTAGCCAAGTTATTGAATGTAACGCATTTTCCTAATTTTTCCAGGAACCTAAAGGAAAAGGCATGATCTACAATGTCCTTCTACGGGCATTGTACCCCAGTGAATCGGCTGGCGGAATTTTTCGTGCTGTGGGGAGGATCTCAAGTGATTCAACCTCAGAATTCATCACATTCCGTGATGATCTAATTTTTGGGGAAAAAAATTCAGGTAGAAAAGGTAAAAAGATCACAACCATGTTTGTATATGACAAATTATATATTATTTTTTTTCTTACCTATATACAGATACTTTTTTCCTGAAACTACTTCAAAGAGTTATGTGGGAAGAAGTAAAAAGCCACACTGGCAACACCTGGGATGCATCAGGAAAGTTGCAAGCAATGTGAGGTGTACTGCAACCTTGCGCAGTCCATCATTCAGAAGCATTCTTATGATCAAGCACTTCTGGCTACAATTTCCTGAGAGGTTAATATAAAAAGTTACTGGTAACATCTTATCACAGAATTCATCATTATTATTGTATTCTACAGAGTGCTCAGAGCAAGGTCAAGGAAGTGATTCATGTTGACATGTCTTCATGCAGCATTGATGAAGACATTATTTCTATGCCTAATTCAGTGCTAGATTTGCAAGGAGTAGTAACTAAAGTAGAGTTAACACTTGCTGAAAAAAGAGATGAAGAACTGAAGAAAGAGTAAAGAATGAAGATGGGGAAATTCAGGTTATTACATATAATTGATTGATTTGGATGTCTTTTCTATTATAAGATACAATGAGAGCACATGTATGCATTATGGGGTTGTTTAAATGTTGAAAAAAGGGTTTGATTCTGATTTGTTTTTCATTTCAATCTAAATTTTGATTGACTTAGTTCTTTACTTGATTGTAGGAAACCAAGGTCCTTCTGTTTTGTTGCCTGCATACATTTTTGGTTTTTTATGGCTTCTTTTTTATTTTGTTTTCATCCTGTCACTTTTGAAATGAATCATTGACACTGGCCATGTTTTGAAATTCATGGAAGTGTGTTCAACATCTTCAATGTCATTGATTACTCAAGTTTCCTTTACTTTCTGTTGCAGGATACTGTGCTTTGTCATTTAGAATTTTCTTAAACATGAAAATGATTGTTTCTGAAATCAACGCGGAACCTGAGCCTGATGATGAGCAGCAGGCCTGCAGTGCAGTAATGTCAATAGAACAAATCAGGGGCCTTCACCCAGATGTGCCCAACATGATGGAATGGTGTCAAGCACAGTATGGTGCCATCAGCACATTCCAACACACATTGGGACCCATGGATGTTTTGTGCCCCCATTGTGGTGCACTGAAATGGATGCAAGAATCAAAAGGATGCTGCTGTGCAGCGGGAAAAATGCAGCTGCCTGAATGGAACCTTCCACCAGCTGCTCTGGAGAATCTGTATGGGTATGCTCATTTCCTGCAGAATATCTGGGCCTACAACATGGTCTTTGCCTTCATGTCACTGGAAGCTTCTGTGACAGAAAGGCTCCAAGTGGACCAAGACCTGGCAAATGGATGAAATGGTGTTTACACCTTCAGGATCCAAGGAACTATTTGCCACAGGATGGGTTCATTACTCCCACCTGAGGGTTGTGCTCCAGCATTTGCCCAGATTTACATCCATGACACTGACATGGAGAATCTGGCTGACCCAAGAAGCTCAATCATGGACCGCCTGGACCGGAGGTCTGTGCTGGAGATTGAGGCAATGCTGCAGAGTGTGAACCCATTTGTGGCACTCTTCAAGTCTACAGGGACCCACTTGAAGCAAAATGAGGAGTTTAGCCTCAGGATCTTGGAGCATGTCAACACCAATGTTTGCAGATACAATTGGCCTACTGCAGATGAAGTGGCTGCCTTGATTGTTGATGGTGGTGCCCAAGAAGAGGGAAAAGATCTGATTCTGAGGCCCCAAGGATGGGGCCTCTTCAGAATCTTTGAGACCTGGGCACAGTATGATCCCCTGCAGTACCCATTGTTATTTCCACATGGGGAACTGGGATGGTGCCCAGATATCAAGTATGCAAATAGTGCTGTGTGTTACAGAAATTCAAGTGCTACTGCACAAGAGTACTACGCATACAGGCTGATGACACGGACATCAATTTCTCTCATCCTGAAATGTGGGAGGCTGTTGCAGCAATACGTTGTAGACCAATACGCCAAAATTGAGTCTGCACAAGTGCAATTTGTTAGAACCAAGTGGAGGTGCTGGAGGGAATAGAGGACATGACATGGGATGACCACTCATTGGGCCAGGTTGGTAGAGTGATACTCCCAGCAAATTTCACAGGCAGTGAGAGGTACATGAAGCAGCACTATTATGATGGCATGGCCATTGTCCATAAGGTTGGCAAGCCTGATCTCTCCATAACAATCACTTGCAACCCAAAATGGACAGAGACTAGAGAATCTCCTGGCCAATCAGGCACCATCAGAATGTCCAGATTTAATTGCCTGTGTATTCAACCTCAAGCTCAGAGCAATCATGGAAGACATAGGAAAAATGAGATACTGTCCATTCAAGGTTCAGACTCCCACTGAAGCTCACGGAAACTTCAACCTGTGCAGTTTCAAAGCAGTCCCATCTTGCAGTTGCTCTTGCAGACGGACATTGTCTGGGATGAAGCACCAATGGCTCATCAATTTGCCCTGGAGGCCATTGACAGGATGCTACAGGACATCACAGGGGTTCAGCTTCCATTTGGCAGGAAAGTCATGTTGTTGACGGGAGACTTCTGACATGGAAAAATGATCATAAAATAATAAAAAATGTATCCACCAAGTAACCATTGCAGAAAAAACAGGAAGAAACCAACAGACAGGAATTGGGAAAACCAATCAGGAGACGAGAACGGATCGCGCCACGTGCCAAGAGGAAAAAGACATGCCCAGCAAAAGAAATCAATAAAGAGGGAAGCAAGAACAGACAAACTCACTCGCCTTTGAGACCTGAATTTGAGCGGTTGTCCTGTGTGGTGTTGCCAAGCAAATTGATCAAGTGTCCTCATTCTGTTGCACTTTTTTTTTCTTTGTCTTGACTGTTTCATCCTTCCAATATCTGAAAAAAGAAGAGTAAAAATCTCATTAAGTTCAGCCCTCTTAACTGTGGGCAGGCCGGTACCCTGGCTGAGTTTCTTCATTTACTTAACATCAAGTTTCACTCTCTTACTTTTCTCGTGAATCGAAGATCTTTCCTTTTTTTGTAATTCCAATGGTCAATCTCAAAGTTTACTTTATTCCTAGATTTGTTGCTGAACGTAAGTTTAGTAACAACTTCTGCCAAATGCTCCCAGTTATTCCAAGGGGATCTGATGGCAAAATTGTGCCTGCTTGCCTAAAGCAATCCAATCTTTGGCGTCACTTCCAAATTCTCAAACTGGAGAGGAACTTGAGGCTACAAGCCTCTGAGGATCCTGTGGCCAATGCAGAAAATATCCAATTCTCAAGAGATCTGCTGGAAGTTGGTGAGGGTCAACATGAAGTCAATCCTGAGCTTGGAGCCAATTTCATGAAACTTCCAAGTGACTTCATCCTCAAGCCCAACAATGGCAAGACAAATTGTGATGCCATCATCAGGCATGTGTATGGCAACATCTCTGAGAGATGCGTGGAGGCTGACTATTTCAACTCCAGAGCCATTCTTGCACAATTATTGACTGATGTTAATGAAATTAAGAGGCAAGTCATGGGCAAGTTGCCAGGAATTGACCATGTGTATAGGTCTATTGATGGAGTTGAAGAACAGGAGGGGTAGGATGAAACCTTGCATCAGCTTGAAATCTTGAATTCCATCAACCCTTCTGGGATGCCCCACACCTGGTGACTCTGCAGGTGGGGGCTCCAATAATGTTGATGAGGAACATCAGTGGGGATCAGGGTTTATGCAATGGTACCCAGCTCAAAATTTGTCAGCTCACCAGGAATTGCATCAATGCAAGGATCCCGACTGGTGCCCACAAAGGAAAGAGGGTCTTTACCCCAAGGATAACCCTCATCAGTGATGATGAATGGATGCCCTTCAAGTTGAAGAAGAGGCAGTTTCCTGTCCAGATTGCTTTTGCCATGACAATTTATAAATCTCAAGTCCAATCTGTCAAACACTAGGGCATCTACTTGCATGAACCAGTGTTTTCACACAGACACATGTATGTAGCACTATCCTGGAGCACATGCAGGAGCAAAATCAAAATTGTGTTGGCACACCCAGTAGGCAAGGATGCAATAGGGGCATACACAAAAAATATTGTCTTCAAGGAAGTGATTTGACATGCCAGGTGCCAATGAAATTTTTCTTTACCTGAGCAGTGATCACCCTTGAAAAGCCAGGAACAATGAACTGGGTGGTACCCAGTGATACCCTGGGCCCTATCACTGCATAGGAAATGCTCATAATACAGCAAATGTGCTGGGGGACTGGCAACCATATTCATTCAGTTTGGATTAAAATTCATTATTGCTAACACACCTTGGCAAGGCATGGCTGGGCACCCCCAGCTTGTTGCATTGGTAAAGTACCTATACAAATACGGGTACAAGGCTGCAGATCAAGCAAGAGTGGCTATCACAAGGAATGAGGATGGGAATTTTGATGAGATCCAGCAGTTTTTGGATGCCAGATATGTGTCCAATGTTGAGGCATGCTGGAGGATCTTTGACTTCCCCATCCAAGACAGATCTCACACAATTGTGCACCTGCAAGTTCACCCTGAAAAGATGCAGTATGTGTCCTTTAGGCCAGATGAGAGCAGGGACAAAGTGCTTGAAAGAGGACAGCATACTATGCTCACAAGGTACTTCAAACTTTGTGCACAAGGGAATGAGGTGGCCAAGAGGATCCTGTTTCAGGGTGTTCCTCTTCACTTTGTTTGGACACAAGGAAAACTTTGGAAACCAAAAGAGCAAGGAGGTGATAAGACCACAGATTGACCCTAACACAAAAAGCTATTTGGTGTTTTTCAGAATAGGCAATGCAATTCTTGAACTGTACTAAGCCTAATTTTCAATTGTTTGTCAAAATATGAAGAGATAATGTCCAAATTGGTTCATCATTTACTGATGAACTTTCTTTTTTTCTTACAAAAGCAATCAACTCGGATACGCTGCTATGAACTGTACTAAGCCTAATTTTCAATTGTTCGTCAAAATATGAAGAGATAATGTCCAAATTGGTTCATCATTTACTGATGAACTTTCTTTTTTTCTTACAAAAGCAATCAACTCGGATACGCTGCTATATTTCATGATGAATACAGTGATTTTGAACTAGCTTTTGACTTTGACCATCTGGAATATTCAAATGAAGGCTTATCTCGGCAAACATCTACGGGAGAAAAGGCTTATTCCCCCCCCCCCCCCCAGAAATACTGCTCGAAGAAAAAGTGAAGACCTCCCAAAAAAAAAAAAAAAAATTGGAATACAGTAATAAGATCTTTGAAATCCCTGGTTCTTTGCCGCAATCTTGTCCAGTTGTGTAACGCGTCACATGGATTTCAAGCAACGATGAATTTCCGCTCACCCGAAGTGACGAACATGAAAGTGTTCGATCAAAAACTGCAGCACCGTCGACATCAAATGATATGACGTCCACTCACTTTTTTTCGATTCTGGAATACAGCACGAATGTTTCCCCGTCGCTTCAGAACACCTATGACCATATTAAGGTTAAAAAAGACACCAAAATGAAAATTGCCGAATTACGATAAAACGCAATTCGAATTCGAACGATTCATAGCATTGAATCAGACTTGTTAGTGAGGCATCAAAGTTTTCAGACATATGCTTGTCAAAAATACATCATTGAAGAAAATTTTCCAACCAAATTAAATGCATTGTAGGGTCCTCACCTTTTGCTGATGAGATCGACGCAATAGACGAAAAGCTGCTGATACCATCATCACAACGGCAGGAAGGCTAGCTCAAGACTCAGCTGTCACTTACTTCCTTCGGATCTCTTTCAGTGGCTTCAATACTCGACGCTGTCACAGGAAAAGAAAACAACGCGCAAATCATTGAAATGGCAGTGGAATCGAATCGACATGAATGACTAAATTAGATTTAACGGCTTGACATCAAAGTGATCAGACTTCAGCTGTCAAAAATGCATCATTGGAGACGAAAAAAATAGATTTAAAGGAGGGTCCTCACCATTTGATGATAATCGTCGACATTGTCGAAGAGGCACGATCAAAATAACAGCAAAAACACTGTCAACTCAGACGTCACTCGTCAACTTTTATAACTTCCAGTGGCTTCCACTCCAACCTGTAGTACAGAAAAAAGAAGGAATTCAGTCCACCAAATTCAAATTATTTCGAACGTTTCATGAATCAGATTTAAAAGTGCGAAGTCACTCGTCAACTTTTATAACTTCCAGTGGCTTCCACTCCAACCTGTAGTACAGAAAAAAGAAGGAATTCAGTCCACCAAATTCAAATTATTTCGAACGTTTCATAAATCAGATTTAAAAGTGCGAAATCATAGTAATCAGACATATGCTTGCCAAAAATACATCATTCAGGAAAAATTTTCAACAAATTCAAATTTAGAAATACTGTACTAATAGTCCTCACCTTCTGCTGATGAAATAGTCGGAATATTCGAAAAGCTGCTGAGCAGCTGATCAAAACAGCAAAATAACACCAGACTCAGTCGTCGTTTGGTTACTTCGGATCGCCTTCAGGGGTTGCAGGACTCAAGCTGGCACAAGAAAGAATTGGGAAAATCAATTTTCTCAGTTCAATTTAAATGCAGTTCGAATTGATTCGAGCAAGAGCACCATATCAGATTTGAAAAATTTGGCTTCACAGTGATCAGACATATGCTTGTCAAAGTCGCATCATTTGAGACGGATACCCAATCAAAATAATAAGGACAGTACTGTACTTACCTATTGTTGATACAGTAGTCGCAACAGTCGAAAGTCTCCTCTAACAAGAATATCCATACTCATCGAAAATACCTGAATAGTAGAGGAGGGAAAAAAATATTAATGCCTCAAATATAATTCTTTCGCGATTACAATTGAATCGAGCGATTCGTCAGATTAAAGAATTACGGCATCAATATTGCTCAGACATATGCTTGTCAAATGCTTAACATCATTTTAATTTCCAGCAATCATTCTCTTCGCTCCCGAAAAATGCGTACCTCACACCAGAAGCGATCTAGTCGTACGAAGTCCGCAATTCCACAATCCGTAGTTTGGATGCTCGAAATGGTCCGTCTCTGGAAAAAAAAATATCCAGATCGATTGGTTTCTGAACGGACATTGAAAAAAAAATCGAAGTACTGCAATATCTTTTTCAGATTCAAATTTGTTCTTCAAGTTGATCAGACATATGCTTGTCAAGTTAATCATCACGCTAAGAATTCAAAATTAAACAAGTATACTGTACTGGAATGTTGTACTTACATAGATTTGTTCAGTTCAACATCCGAATCGCTATTCCCGTAGGACGAGTTTCTACGAACGAAAAATGAAACACAAGGTAAGTCAATAAAATCAACAAAGTCGCGAATCTGAGCCTCACCTCTTGCAAATGACTTTTCACTCATAAATTGTATAGAGGAAATCATTTTGCCACGTAATTTGATCGAACGGGAATATCACCAAATTTCTCGGCACGATGCTTAAAGATGATTGTTCAGGAATCACATATTCAAGAAGTCTGCGGCGTCACATGCACTCACATCTCACAACGTCTGGAAAGAAGACATATTTTTAAGGCAAAGGATCATTACACACACACACAAACTTCCCTAGACAGTAACAATCCCAAACCAACAATGTATTCTTCACGGGAGTATTTCTAAGCCGATCCTCACTTGAGTCAATGCCAAAGTAAGCATTGCCTTGAAATTGAGACAGAGACACGGCCGAAAAATTCCTAGCTCTGCAAGCGAAAACAAATTTTCTCGTTCATATCATGAATTTCTTGTTCGATGCGTACACGAAAGAAACCTCAGAAGAGACCATAAAGCGTCCAACACCCCCAAAATCGGATTCGAAACAAGAAAATAGTAAAGGTTATGCAATGCGATACCAGTGATCAGTTTAAGGTCTAACACAGATTCATCTGAAGTAGTGGTAAGAGACACGGAGTTAACATCTTGAAACAAAAGCTTATTTTGGCAGACGAAAACAATGAATAACCATTAATGCCCGCACGAGATCGACCAAAGAAAGCAAACGGGGCTCACATACGCTAAAATACTTTCAGGACGATCTTTCCGAAAACAGTCATCCAGTTTATATTGGCACGTGATACTCAGAGTGAGTCGACGTTAGATTCGGGTCTCAATACTGTAAATCTCCTTCCCAGAGATGCAATTCTTTCAATTTTTGTTCGCATGATCACTCCACACTGGCAACCAACGATTAAATTCAATCCATAAAAATTGTCGACATGAAATGAGGAAACATTAATACATGCAAACAGCCTGAAGATCGAAAACAACACGCACCAATCCCGCGTGGTTCGACTATTTGGCGAACGCACAACCCCAGACACGAACAAAACAAACCCTTCAGATATTATGATGATCTGACACCAGCAGGAGATTTTTCTTTTCCCACCAACAGCCGAAACACGAGCATCAAGAGAATACCGAGTTCGTCAGATTTATACCAACGATAGAGGCAACACGACGAGTCGAAAATCTAAATGCAGTATCCACGGAGGCTTCAAATGCGCATGCCGTTTTAAAATGGCTACAGGCACATGTCGCTCTATCACTTTCCAAGCCTCACACGTTTCGAAATACAGTACTGTACAATAATCAACTGGCAGAACAAACCGACGACAATGTAATTTCCTTAACTCAAGTATACTAAAGCAGGCTCAATTTCGAACATATTTTGCACGACGTTCCGACCGGCCTGCTCCGAGCACATCTACGTAAATGAGATCTCCACGGATCAAAGTTTAACAATTCGGTAAAAATCACACGGATTCCTTATTCCCCTGACAGTTTCTTGCGTCATGACCGACGCAATATTCCGACCGATCGAAAATACGAAATCTAAAAATCACGTCACTTTCTTCGCGATTTCTTCCTGAGAAATCGAAACACGGGAAGATGCGTCGTGACTGGCGCGATATCTCGCGTACATCTTTGGCCGGAGCAAGAAATTGTACAAACTCCAGCCGAGCAAACCAGCGAACCCCACACTCCAGAACAGCCCAATATGCCTGAAAAACACGCATACGGGTGCATTTAAATAACGTAGCTTGCATCAAAGATTTTGAACGAAGAACCCCGCGGGCTTCTTTGACTGGAGAGCGGAAACTCACAGGAAGATGCGATCAGTTACAATTGAATACAAACTGACTTCTTTCTTTTTAAATGCTTGAATCGATAATCCTTTTAGTTTTCTTCCTCTTCCCGTTACCATTACGAATCGTACTCTATCGTACAGTATCGCAAGTAGATTTCACCGGCGGTCAAAAAGGGAAATTTTTTAAATGATTGAATTGTTATATTTTCATTTCTTTCAGAATACTGCACATTGCAAATTTACAGAAAATGTACCAAATAAACGTCATCTTCTTCATTCAAGATTTGGAACACAAAAACGCTGATTTCCTCACCGCTGATATTTTCTGACAATTTATAACAAGAATGGCAGCATTTTCAAATACAACTCACCAGGGCAGAGGTTTTGTGACGGTCTCCCACCCACATTTCAGAACAAGGAGGAACTCCGTGAAAACAATCGTCACCAGCATCCAGGACTGACGACCGAACTTCTGGCATTCGCTGGATATCGAACACATATTTTCGTCAGGTGAAAAAACTTCCAAGTTTCAATTTTCAAGGCAAGTATTGTAAAAAAAAAATCAACACTCACGGGTCGTCTAAATATTGAAACGTCTCGCGAATGGCCACCGCTCCCCACAGCAACATGAACACCAATCGCATGGCATTCAAACGATTATCCGGCGGAATCCACAACACGTACTTCAAGTAAAAGGAGTTCAATTCTCCGAGAGAGAACTAGCGTTCCAAGAATGTCAGTTAAGAACACAGAATCGTAAACAAATTCACTGAGAACTCACCAGCATAATGATATTCAGCATAAAAAACCAGCGCCCTAGGCTGGTTGTCGGTTTCCACTCGAAGTCAATCCAGCTGTGGGGTCCGAACTGAGCTATAATTCGCTTCAGTTTCCCTCTGCAAAATGAATTTGAATTCGTCAACTTCAATTGTAACAGAACTTTCAAATGAATGCTCACCTGTACGTAGGGATATTCCATAAGCCTCTCCAGTAGTAAGTTCGCAACGAGAAGAAGTTGAGGACTTGGATGCCAACATATATTCCCAATCCATTGCACAGTAATGCATCCAGAATCCACTGAAAAGTTCGAAGAAATCACGTACGCTACTACAAGGATTGCTCCGTATTTTCTGACGATTAAGCATCTCGAAGTAAAGAAAAATTAATCTTTTTTCTTGAAAACATTGTACACTAAAGGCGGAATGACTCACGTGGTCCCACCAACATTCACTGAAATTCGGCAACTGATGTTCAAATGTGTACTCCAGCAATTCGAACGATATGGATAACACCGTGCAGATCCACCAATCCCTCAAAATCAGCGTCTTCAACATCCATCCGAAAAAGTGCAACGGAACGAAAAGATCCATCTTGTCCCAAAAATTATGGTACGGATCTTCCGGGGTGTCGGTGTCGTAAATTCGGCAATTGCCTCCATACGACTTCTCTTCCAAAGGCACACCGACGCTCGGGTCCAAATGTTTCAGCAACTTTCGGGCATCATTCGGAGTCTTCCCGATCATAATTTGACGATTTAATGCAGAAAAAGATAGGAATAAAAAATGTAGATTGAGAATGCGGAAGACTTCTGCACGAACAAATCCCACCCTGGCTTCTTGAATGTCGAACAGGTACAGCACGAATCATAAATTTTATTTTTATAGCCTTATGCAATTCGATGTAATCCAACTTTAAATTTGAAGACAACAAAATTCAGACAATACGCATTTAATGGTGAGAGAAAATCGAGGAATTTGGGGCGTGGGTGGTCGAAGTGTAAAAATCACACAAGTCAAAAATGTCATCAAAAGGATGAGTTACAATCGGCCTACATCAAGGATCGACAATTTGAACTTGACGAAGGTGAGGGAATAAAACTCACCTGGAATAGAAGGAAAATCAGACTGAGTTCGTAGATGAAACTGAAAGAAAATGCCATTCGCCAGAAGGCAGGATGAGGACGACTGAAGGGCCCATCAGGCATAACAGTGGATCCGAATAGAACGAAACAAAGCACCATCGCCACCAATCCCCTGGGGGAAAAATTGGCACATGAACGCATGCCATGCGAGCTCTCTCAAAGATTTTAAAACTACCACGAAGAAAAATGCACTATGAAATGTAGGTCGAACAAATTGCCCATTCGTCGTACCCATTCCAGGATGATTACTCATAGTCATTGGATAGTCATGCTTAGGCTAGAGCCTTTTGCTGAGCCACATTTTTCTTCAATTTTCAAATTATCATAGAAGTTTCCCAAAACTTGAGCTTCGCGGGAATGACCATGCTTCGGAAACTGACGTCAGAGAAAAAACAAGATTCAATTCTCAACTAGGACAGGTCAGATTTCTAACGACTCTTCCAAGAATTTTCAGAAAATCTTCTTTGTTCAGGGTGGGTCACACAAAAATTAGCACGCCTCTCTTGATGACACGATCAAATGAATTAGCTAGTGTATTGTTGTTCTTCACTCATCTAAAATGCTTTCGAAGGTGCGTACAGCCGTGAATCAGGATCAATTTTAGAATCAGCGCATCGACAGTCGCGATCAAAAAAATTTTTTTCATTTTGGTATCCTTCGATTCACAAATCGGAAATTATCTCCTCATTGAAACGAATTCAGTTCTTCAAAATAAAATCAGAAGATTGAAAGAAATCACTGAAAAACTTGTAAGACCAACCTTTTGGCGTTGTAATCAGTATCCGGATTCTCGGGCTCAAAAATAGCAACGTGCACAAGAACCATCAAGATGATGAAAAGGACAGTCAACGTGTGAGCGCGCCTGAAAAAACAAAGCAAATAACGACAGATTACAGTATTTATTCGAGGCACGCTTCCTTGACCGCTTTTCATTTTTGGAGATAAAAAAAAAAAGGAATCAACGCACCAGAAGAAGGTGTTAGTGCCATCGTCAAACAAGGCTTTGCCTGCTTGTTTTTCTCCCTGCCAATCATGCGCTGGTTTCCGACGCTCATGGTAAAACAGGTCACCAGCTGCATGTCCATTCAGCGATTCTCTCGTCTTCTCCACCAGCTGCTCCGCTCGGACGACCCACGATGGACTGTCAGCCATGGCAAGCACTCATTCGCGCGAACAAATTTTCCACTCCCCCCAGGTACTATTCCACGAGCAAATAAAGAACCGTTCAACCGGCAGAACTCACGCAAGCAGCTCGCAAGAATTCGTCAAAATACTTGAAAAATAGGGTGCTCAAGAAGTTGATATGAATTCTAAAACTCAATAACGTATTCGCGATCTAAACGTCGTATTCGTATGACACACATGCAGAATAAACGGGAATTCGCATTGAATACCTCTAGAAAGTAAGACAACATTCCAAAGCAAGAATACTGAAACAAATCGGGTCATGTCGATCGTGTAATGTGTTCGTCAGTTTTTGCAGCAAAACTCACGCACACCAAGGAGGAACCCAGATTTGGCTGATTCACGAAAATTGAGAGGTAATTATGACCGTCTGTCGCGGATTCATCGCTTGAAACAAACAATTCGCTGTGTAAGTGAACAATAGTGGGGATGCTTAAATACACTTGAACAATTTCCACAGCAACTTCTTGGACACCCTGGAGGAGATATTTTTAGAAGTTTCGAATCATCTGCTCGAACAACAATTGACAAATTGAAGAAACTCTTCGGCTTAGCACCGACGAAATTTTCACGTTACACTCCTATATATAACCAAATACGCTCTCGATTTTCAAGAAGATTAACTCTCATTGAAACGCATGAGATTTAAAGTGACAATCTCATTTAATATATCACGAAGTGCTTCACGCGAAGAATGTATCACATTTTGGTAGTCAGATCAGAAACAACTCTCATGTTTCTGGCAGCTGGGTTTGTTTCCGTCATTGACACCCGTAGAGCAGAATATTGATCCCGAATTTAAGCATCGAGACATGTCTGGTCTCGCTCGTGCTCGATGCTTCACGGCTTTCTGAATATTGCAATATTCAAAGAGCATGATATTTGGAATGAGTGTTGTGTCCCGAATAAGAAAGTATTGGGCAAGTGGGCTGTAAGAAAACATATCCAAACATAATTATGGCTCCAAAACCGTCTCCAGAAAACACCCCCGTTATTCCAAACATATTAAAAATATTCTTAAAGTAAGTATGTAAAATTGTACCTGATTCAAAGTATCAAAAAAATTTAATTTTTCAATGGATGCTTTCAGGCTCAACAAACCACGAAAAATACGCCCGCAAGATTTTAATTTCCTGACAAGAGAAAGAAATAATCCACGCTTATTTGAGCCTCTCAACATTTTACAAAAACAAAAAAGCCGGCACCTGATGGTTCCTGAAGTAACACTCAAAACCGTCTTCAGTTATCTCAGAAATCCCGCTACTCACTGGCAGAGGATCTTCAGAAAGCAGGGAGACAAATAGTGCTGCATGATGTAAAACCAAGCTGAAGCAAAGAGTGATCCAACGAATGCACCAACAACAACTTGCTCCATCGTGTGATAACCAAGATAAACCCTGAAAATGGTTCACTATTAGAAATACGCGCAGAAAAACTATAAGTGCGTTTCGATGCAGTTCAAAAAAGTACCTGCTGTAGGACGCACCGGCTCCAAGCAGAAATAAAGCGTACATCCATCGCTGTCGGGCTGCAGTCTCCCCAGATCCCCGAGGAACAACGGATTTAACCCTGCAATGAGAAATACTTTGATCATCGAAATTGATCAATTCTGTTGGGCAATTAAATGAGAAGTATCCACAAATTTGTGGAATAACGAACACTTGCTCAGCGCTATGATGCCATGAAAACTTTCGATCACAATGAGTTGCCAAACATAAAAAAAAACCACACAGCCATGAAAATTTCACACTTCTGAATTTTCTTCATTTGTCCCGAACAAAGAAAAATTGCTGTAGCGTGAGCGGAATTTCAATTTCACACTGAATACCGACGTGTAAACTTTAAAATTTTCCAGGATTCACCGAAATGTGAAAAGTTCACTTCAATGGATCAAGAGAAACAAACGTAAAATCGATCGAAGCTTGCGCATTACGGGAGCTGTAAGGGGCATAGACAGGACATTACAAATTTACCTCATAATCGGAATCGTACCTGAACATCAGGAACAGTATCATGTAGAAGCAGAAAAACCACATGAACTGGCTGTGATGGGACGGCATACCATAGGAAACAGAGTTCCCATGATATCTGCGCAAGTGCTCATTGTAGTCTGGCCTATCCTGCGCTATGACTGGCTTCAAAATCATGTTCATCACGGTATTCAACAGGAGTCCAACCAAAAAGAATATCTGCGAGGAAACGAAAAAGTAATTGAGGAGAAATGAAACACAGTATTGTACGTATGAAATCATACGGTGTGGAGGTCACGTCGAAAGAAGATCAGCGTCACGAATCCCACCAAGACAGCGAACGGAGTCAGCGACAAAATTCCCATCAAAAGACCAACAAGACCTGAGCAACACAATCAAGAATTTGAAGGAAAAATACAATCTTGTATCGCAAAATACATCATCACACGACACGTATTAACGCGACGGATACCATAATCTTTGAAAATACGATTTCATGATGTCTTCTCCAAAAAATTAAATGTTATGGGGAGTTCACCAATTTAATAGCACGTGATTAGACAAGGTTTCAAAAATAGTACAGTGTTGAAAGAAATTTCAAGTCAATTCTTCTAGGCAAATGCAGAACTTAATTTCCAATTGGTGTGCACATATCGCATATGACGAATTGAAGTGTCGTCATGTACTAGTACGTCGTGTCTAATAATGCACATCGAATAAGACACCGAGAATGGATGCAACATTATTGAAATTTGGGCTACAAATTTACGAGCGAGAACACCTACATAAAAGCCTACAAAAATAGGCTATAATCCTGCAAAACTTAGTACCTGGCGGCCGCACAACTAACGTTGTCGAGAAAGGAATCCATTCGGGCGCCTCAGTGCCTCCACTCGCTTCTTCGCCACCCGAATAATCGGAATCACCCCACGCCATATTTCCGGAGCCGACGGTCAGACTTCAATTACGTTTTTCTCGCCTCAGTACGTTTCAAACATCTTTTAAATCCAACACTCAGCTACTCAATTAAATTTAGAGAATAAAATAAAACACGCCTAGAGAGAAAAAGACAACACTAATTCGAATTAAACAACAAAAAACACATATCACAACACAAAAGCATGGAATTTTCAGGACACCGTCGGCTTCCCACGCAAAATCACGATAAAATCAATACGCACTTCACTGGATATTCGTACGTTACGCGAAAGTTATGCAACAAGAAATTATAACTTCATTTCACTTTGAGGGCTTTTCTAGAAATTCAATTAGATTACAAAAAATTATCGTGAATTCATGAATTCGTAAGAAGCATTGCAATGCATGTCAATACGAACAAAGAGATCAATACCCTTTCAACTACCACATGAGGCTACGTAAACCTTAACGAAGTTCTTGAACCTCCGACCACACATCGGGCACTTGCGTCGGTATTTCGGCAGAGAGGCGAGATATTCGGCACACGCCCTGCACACGCACTGGTGCAGAACGTCCGGGTGCTCTAGTGACATCTCTCCATCTGCCTCACCACATCGCAAGCACGACATGGGTTCAGTTTCTTTTGGTATTCGGGTATCGGCAAAACCAGCAGACAAAACACTCTGCGAAGAGTCACTAGTGAATTGGTTTCCGGGGTTACGAGATCGGAGTTTTAGATTGGCGTCTAACTCCATAGGGGTTTCGTCATCTTCGTCTTGCGGCATCATCGCATCAAAAATCACATCGTCCTCTGAAGAGTCCTGAAATATGAAATGGATCCATTCATTAAATGCACCACATACCGTATTTACGCGAATATAATACATATAATTTTGTGGGTCGTAAACAGGAAGATTCCCGTATACGGTATATAAGCATATTTGCACGAAGTGCATACATATGCCATTATGAGCCTTCCCCTAGTCTTGAGCTTCTAAAAGTGAAAAAAAGAGTACCTTTATCCGCGTAAATACGGACCTTTTGCGTAGGCACCATTCGGAACGAACACTCTGGCATACTCAGCAAGGTGGAATGAAATAATGGGAGAAATTACGGTTATGAACAGGTGTCGTAGTTTCAACGAAGTTTGTTCAAAGATGACACTTAAAATTTTACCTCTGATATAAGTGCCAGAGTATATTTTCAACATGACTCACGGCCGTATTCATGTTAAAAATCGCGAAAGGAACTAAGAACGCTGGGAAACTGTAATTAATAAAAAAACATTCTATCCTTTTGTGCTCTTCGATTCCTCCAGAATCAACAGCATCTATGCCTCATTCCCTGGAAGGCATTTCAAATTTACAGGCCCCACAATTCAGATTACCGCATGAAATGCTGATCTCCTCTGCTCCGGCAGTTCAAGTCACAGGTCAGTACAGTAATACTTGCTCGAAACTCACATAAAATAAATCACAATCGGTACGGTAGCCTCATCACCTGAAATAGAAAAAAAAATATGAAAAATCATCGTTCAACATTGATTACGGATAAACGAACACTCAATAAAAAACGCTCGTCGCGACTTTCACGTTCCTGAACCAGCGAGCTCGCCAGCAATCAGAGCTCTCGGGTACACATGGTCCGCAGAAACGATCAAATTAAATTCGCCTCTTTTCCCTAAGTGATGAGGTCATCTGGTCGCGACAATTACTAACGGGGAGCAATTAAGGTGCATCCGAACAGCCAGCACACGTGAGATGCAACGAACAATGGGGTTCCGGATAAAGCATCGAAAACTTGTCTAAATAATTCGACATCAATATGCCCGTCAGAACACACAGGGACGGCACGCGTTTCGATTTCATGTTTTCATCAACAACAAAAAAACTTCGTTCGATTTTTTCTCGCTTCGCTTGCCATCACCGACGACAACCGTGCTCATCATCTTTGGAAGCCTTGAAGATAAGAATTTATGTTTTCTCACGAAGAAAAAACCAACCCTCGACTTGACTAGCTTCGACTAATCCATCACCCAGCGAGCACTCAGGAAGAACTCTACAGCCATCTCGCCACCTTTCAATCTTTCATAACGCTTTAACCTACAAATTCTTCATAGTTCACCGCTACACAGGAAAAAATGAGGCTCTAGAACAACTGAAAATCGAAAAAAACGGCGAGATCAAATCTTTTTCGGAACACATGAAACGAAATATGACTGTGTCGGTGCCGGGACAGAATTGTCACGAAGAGCAGGTAAAAATTTCAGGGATTTAAACCTACGTGAAGCATAGAACAGTAATAAGAAAGTTTTATCCATCAGTGATTTGAAGATTCGCAAGATGTTATTCATTGTGTTTCTTGCACTGTACTGTACTCATGACCATACTTAACATCCCTGGAAACTGTTCAATACCATCGCTCTTTATGGCAATGCGCTGTTTTTGGCGCGTTGAACTGTCCAGTCACGAACAAAGTCATAAACGCATTCGAAGTGCATAACGTTCCAATACTACTCACGCCGTCGAACCAGTCCTCATCGGACTGCCGCTGACGCAAAGGAAAAAAAGCGCAAACGCACATCTGGAACGAAGCGCGCATTCAACAACTGAAGAAAACTATGCAAAAACGAAGGAAAAAACAGTCGTTTGCGAATCACTCACATTCGATCAATAAAATAAAACGAAACACTCAAATGATTGACACGCAGGAAATAAAACTTCACGGATAAAACCAAAGTGAAGAATTGAACCATCACTTTTTCAAACGCGATACATGAGAACCCGTTCCTCCATTTTATCCAGCATCTCATCGTCATCCGCCACCCGCGGGTGCAGGAAGAAAACTCGTGCGCCCGATGCTTCGTCCGCTGCGGTGTCCAAGAGGTGCCATTTAACCCACAGCTTCAGAGAATTCTTCAAGGTGTCGGAATTTAGGCATAGTCTTATTTTTTCCCGGCCCGCGGCAATTCGTGACGACATCACATCCAAGCACTTGCGGACGAAATCTTGCTCAGAGATCCGCTCGTCGCCCAAATTCCGGGCGAACTGGACTGAATACGCATACGTTGCTATCGTTGGGGCGAGAATTCGTTGAAAAAATTCTAGCTTCCTCAGTGATGACTCCGTGAGGATCAACTACGAAGAAGCAGGATAGAATATCACTCGCTAACTTCGTTCATGCGTAAAAAATTCGCTACTTCTGAGCGGGACAAGTCGAGCTTATTTCATTCATAAGGGGCTTCCGAAAAATTACCGCGTCATGAAAAGTCAGCATTCTTCAGTGGATCTCACAGTTCTTCCAACATGTACGCAAGATTGCAATTAAATTAGTAGTAAATATGCCAAGAACTGCAAGAAGGTTCAAGAGGAATTGCAGGAAAAAGGTCGACGAAGACCATGAATACACCTAATGGCAATGTCATCAGATTCTACCAAGCCTCATACTGTATACTGCCTGCAATCATATTTTCACACATATCTAGGTAACCATGAAGCATATAAAATATTTGATGACTTCGTGAAAATTAAAATTTCACTAAGCCGATGAAACTGGAAATGATCACCATTTTCACGGATGAAGTACAAAACATATTTGTGCAGAATACAGAATTCTTGGGGTAACGTTTGAATACCATGCACCCTACATTTTCTCAATGCCATACCTTCATCGCTCCATCGTCATTGTCGAACGGTTCCTCTTCGTTACCTTGATTATTATTTGGAATCTGCACAAAAACGCAACGAATACTTTAAACTGCGGACATGTGATGAATGTATGGGACCAACATGAAGGATGTCCTCTTCGAAGGATTGAATGGCTTCTCTCACACCTTGAGATGCACTCGCACAGGGAGGATACAGCACCGTTTCAAACCCCAACAACTCCACCAATCCTAAGCATCGATCTTCCAAATCCGGTCGCTTCAGTGAGAGGCCAGTATTGGTAAGGAACTTCGTCCGATAGTTTTCGTCATAGAAAAATGATTTGTTCCCGTGGCCGCTCAGCTTCCCGTGGGTGAGTTTTCCAACCAATGTTTGAATGCTTACAGCTGAAATACAATTTTTTATTCAATTTTCATTTCATTTTATGATTGACTACAGTATTCCGAGCAAGTCCGAAGAGTGTGGTCATCAGTTTAAAAAAACTGGCGGTCACCACGCAACCCCCCCCCCTTTTTTTTAGAGACGGCCCAATTTTTTTTACATTTTATAAACCGACCGTTTCTTGACCTAAAAATACATTTAAAGAAGCCGTTAAATATGAGAAAGATATCTCCGGGTGTCCCTCATACCCATAACTAAAATCACACAGATGCACTGGACTTTTCATGAACAAAAATGCGTTGAATTTACAATAATTACGTTGTGCATGACCGACGAGTACTTGAGCCGGGATATTAATTTCTGTAGGCCATCTTTGAAATATTGAAAAAAAAATTAAGGAAGCTCAATTTCTGAGCTTCCTTAATGGGACTCTCGAAAAAGATGCCATCAACGACAGATTTTTCATATTCTCAAATACAGTAATGAATAATTTTTTTCGGAGCATTAGCAATTATGAAATATTAATTCATGAATATTAGTTAAAATACGATCGTCAAACTGATGCTACTCACCCAATATTCCTTCAAAATTAAAAGAAGACATCAAGTTGTTCGCTAGGAAGGAGAGCTCAATCAAAGCCTCCATGTTCCCGTGCGGCGAAGAAATCCAGAGTGTTTCAGACGACCGACCATTGACGGAAGAGTCCTCCACAAAAGTATTCCTGACGGGGGCAATTTCATTTCCGAAAAGGTCCAATGAATACTGAAAAGCGTCTTCCGCCTGGCAGTAAAAACCGAGGTCCCTCCCGCGCTTCTGGCACTGGGCACAAATCCACTCGAAGTTTTTCAATGCATTACTGTAGGTGGCTCCGTTTGATGGAATTCCGTACAGTAGAACGGCTGCCAGAACATGAGTCGACATCACAGAGCAGTATCTTCCAGCATCTTTAGGAACAAGAACAAAGGAGTGAATCTTTAAAAAATATCAATAGTAATTCCTCGCGGAATATTTCTCTCGTCTCTTCCAAAGGTATTCTGCACTCCAATGAGGATGCACACACAGGGTGGCCCAGCTAATTCCGACAATTTCAAGACTTAAAACATCTGCATTTCAAAAGCAACCAATGTACACTATATTACTTAATCTCTACCGGTAAAAACCGGAATTCAAGCTCCAAAGAAACTTGGATCCAGTTTACTTTGAATTTCACATTTTCTCCTGTTATGTGATAACTACAGTGGTCATTTGAAAAACTTCCGACTAAAAACAATTTACGAATTGGAGGATAAAAAAAAGCATTTCAATGACAAGAAGTGAATGCACAAAACTGGACCTGAACCATTTGAACAATCAACTTCACAAGTTTTCGAGTGTGATGGGATTTTTCTCACAATTTCGAATTTAAAAACGAACATACACTGTACAACGAATCTGTCAGTTCTAATTTGCACAAAATTCGACACAAAAGAATAACAGAGCGCCCCGGAACACAATGACTTTAATCTGCAGATTTTTCTGAATTTTAAACCATTTTCTTTAAGGTTCAGATAGCCGAACTTCTGATAGAAGTCACCTCAAATCTGAAGAGAAGTTCCAATCGGATTGGGGATATCCTTTTCCCTCTTTCGCCCATACTTGAGGAAAAAATGAAAATTCCTAACAAGATGAAGATACAGTACTAATTTAAATTTGAACGGCCATTACTGTGAACTATAAAACGCAAACACATTTGAAAGCTAACAAAGCTAATATTTCTCCTTACACACATGAATTTTTTCTCTCAAATTTGGTAATTTCTTTTTAGGGGGAAGTTATTACAGGATAACCAAGCTAGTCGCAATACTTCCGTTGAAGCTTTGAAAAACGATAACAGAGAAATCATTTCAAATTTTATTGAAGCCGCAATTCAGGTTTTCACTTGCTGTAAAGTACATTATTTTTCGAAATTCGGGCAAACATTATTCGGACCATCAATTACAGTACTGGTGTTGTGCTTTCGGCGCGGAATGGACCGGTTGGAAATGGACAAAGTTACTCAAGAAATTTCATGAAATTAATCTTTAAACATCATACCATCCCAGTAATGAGTTGAAGGCGGAAATGACATGATTTATAGCACGCACGCGAGACAACGAGGGCAGATTTAATCTACTATTCGACATTTATCCTGCAATACGCTGAAAAGAAGTTGGTAAATACCGTACTGCACTAGAAGATATAAAAAAATCTCGATCCAGCAGCTGGAGTCTTTCCCTGGCTTCGCGCGAAAAACAGACAATTCATACAGCATGAAAACTTTTCTTCAGCAACAATCTTACCTTATTCGATTCACGAGATTCTGTATACCTACTCGTAGTTTCCCAGTTTTTTTTTTTTTAAGATTCAAGCGTTGATTCACTATTTGAAAGATTTATGCGCTATTGAATTCCAGTCGGAATTTTGAAGTAAGACATGATAATCTTTCGAACTCACCGTGTACCATATGTTTGGCCAACGCAGAAACAAAAAGTCTTTCCTGCTCGTCAACGTAATCCATGCCAAACAAAGGACCCGTGTACGTGCGAGGCATTCTTCGCACATTTAAACCGTTTCTCAAAAACTCCACCTGAGAGCTTTCCGCAGCCGAACGTTCTTCATCAGTCAATGGCCCGAAGACGTCTTTATGCTGATTGAAAAATTTCCGGAGAGAAACTGGCTGCCCGAAGTCTAACCTCATGTTGCACTTCTTCCATTGCAGGAAGAGCTTCAGGGTAGAAAATAGGGTGTAGAAAAAACTTTCAGGAACCTTTGGTTTGCCGAGAATTTCATTTGGATAACCAGCTTCCACAATACGTTCGTAAGACAATCCGACAGGCACCAGCAATGCATCTTCGATGTGTTTATTGCGGAAGGCTTTCACGACCGCACTCAGAAGTCCGCCTAAGAATATATGAACAAAATCACAGCTGTTCGAATTTTTCATGAACTAAAAGAAGTTATTTGCCAAGACGCATGAAGGCCATGCATCGTCAAAATCGCAACAGAAGATCGTCAAAATGTCTATAACTTTTACACGTGAAGATACTAATGGTAAAACATCATGAATGCCAACTTCTCGAAACTCGTAGAAATTTCGGGTACTGTACAGTACTTCATATTTAAATTAGGCACCAATTATTTCAACTGTAATTGCATCAATAAAATAGCAGTCAATTCCAAAAAAGAAGTTCGTGAATGAGACATAATCTCATTGAGGAAACCCTTCTGAAATACGATGCTACTTGTGAGAGAATCACTTATAAAATGTCGTAGGAACACAAGAAAAAAAAAACCTAGCTATTTGGTATCAGCAGGAAAATATTATGTTCGAAGTGAGTTATTCGTTGGACTGCTCTCATGAATAGTGACGATCTTCAAGACCAACTTAGAATACAAATCGTATAACATGACTGGATACCACGCGATCGAAATTTCTTCCAGAAATTTTAAAATGTACATCATACTTTACGCGACTTCACACTGAAATAGACAGAAATGACATGCCTTTCGGGATCATCGGCTTTCCAGTTCGTGATCGAGTTCCTTCCAAAAAGAATCCCAGATCGAATCCGTTTTTCAGCATTACATCCAAGTAAGATTCCAGCAAACTTCTGTATATGTGATCTCTCTGACCAGCTTTTGGATCAATTTTCCGCCGAATAAAATACCCACCCATTCGATTGATGATGAAGCTGCCGATCAAAGACGAATTTCATCGTTTCCGTAATATAAAAATATGATACAGTATAAAAATACTCACCCGAACAAGAAGATGTTCAGATTTTCTCCGGCAGCTTGAATTGGCATTTTCAGGCCAGTTCGATACAACATCCATGTGTAGATAATATAGTCGAAATGCGACTTATGAAGCGGAAGGTAGACAACTGGATGAGGACATTCTTCAATTTGGGCTTTGAGAGTTTGAATCTGGGTCTCGTTGAATTGAACCGACCGCCAAAAAAGATTAAGGACGTGGAACGTGACCCAGCCGATACAACTTTCAAAAGAAAAATAATACCAAAATGAAATCTGAAGAGCTGAAACTTGCGAAGAACCAGATACTCCTCTTGCAACCGAAGGTATCGAAGCTTACTCACTTTAGTACTGTGAAGTTCATTCTCGCTTTCATTTTGTCCCACAGCGCCTCCATCTTCTCCTTCAAGCTTTTGAATAACTCCACCTTACTGTCACCTGAATTACCCTGAATAAAAATCAAAAAAGAAAGATCGACAATTTTGTCATTTATATTCAATTCGCAAGAAATCGTGTTCTCTGAAAACGGACTAACAGAAACTCCCATCCATCCCTTTTTAGCAACAACTGTGCGCTGAATTGCTTTCGACGCGTCGAACACCGCAACTGAGTTGTCTGTAAAATTGACTTCGATAAAAACTATATTGAACGGCACTCACGAGTCCCTGAATGGGAAGGTAATGCGCCGGCGCTTCTCGAAATTAAAAAAAAGGATCACTTCGGATTAGCTGACAAATTATGAACCACCCTCGTACGTGAACATCGCGATCGAACGACGCACTGACCTGTTGCGATTGCTCATCGACAGTCGTTCTTATCGCACTCCAGACTCTCTCGTCCTGCGGAACTTCAACATCCAACGTGTTCATTTTGAAGGTATATTTGTTCCGATAATTCAAGTTCCAGATGAATTGCAGATATGCGGTCTGACGGTAGAACCAGCCTCCGCGCTGCTCCGGAACGGACAATGCGTTCCTCAAGGATGAGATCATGGTAATTTTGTCCAAGGCCATGCCAGACGGCGACTGAATCAATGAAAAATCATTCAAGATATCGGAAATTCATCTAAATGACACAGTGAAGTTATTCAAATTCGAAGGTTCAGTGTAGCGTACTTTTACACGCATTCAAGGGATAAAAGTGAGCATGTAAAAATGTGATGATCCTTCGGATGCGTTACACGTGAGATATGAACATTCTCAAAAATACACGTGATATGAACATTCTCAAAAATCAAACACTCCGTATAACTGTGACATCGGTCATACCCTCAAGAATTTCCGTTTTTCTCCATAAATAAAAATACCATTCCCAACTGATGCGAAAACGAGCACAACGAACCTCGATAAGGCTGTCCTGAATTAAGCAAGAACAGAGGGATCCGATTGATGGACGAACCGTGGAAGAAACCGGATGCATCGGGATACCCGTTTTGAACTTGCACACGTTTCCTCCAAAAAAAGGCGATACATGGCTCTGCTAGACATGATTACAAACATGAATAATTAACTTATGCACATCGTCAAGAAGTACAAAGACGCCAATGAAACTCAACGCCAACCACTTCAGTAGAGAAGATTAAGAGGGGTAAGGATACGACATCCTTCACGCATGCAAAATGAGTTCCAATCACATCGAAACTGAGCAAGATAATTGGAAGTACAGCATCCATAGAATACCAAAGAGAAGATTCGCAAGCAGATAGGAAGCAATGGCAAAGACATCATTACATCGTAAGGCATGATGAAGTTCGTCGAGCTGATCCACAAAGCCCTAATGATGTTTCAAGCACACATTCAGCCAATCGAACTTAAGCTGCGAAAAGAACACATGTGCATGACACTTCTGATCCATTCAAACCTGAAAACGTCCAGCATTTCAGAAGGAAACTGGCAAGTATCACCCGACATTTCGATACGTTGCACGAATCTAATACGGTAATATCGAACAAGATCTCAACCGTTGTTCACAAGCTCCTAACGCTCCCGCGCGCCGTTCCACGTAGACTCAAATGACACCAGTGTCGTTTGAAATGCCGGTCGATCCCGGTAGGAAGTAGGAACAGACGACGAATACTGTGCAATATTGTACGTCTGCAAATGGAAAGAATATGGCACCCTATTTTTCCATAAATTATATCAACTTTCATAGATGTCAGTTCAGAGAGCCCCTATTCAGCTAATATACAATGCATGCTGTCATGCATGTACAATTGTACATGATGTACGCTTTGCTGTTTGTACTGTATATGTACACTATATGTAATAACTTGACCAATATACAGTACGCCAATATTGAGCGGTAGTGAATGCAGACCATGCATCGAATGTTTCTCCTTCTATGTTTCCTAGATTCCTCAGTGAACATTATCAATGTTGTTGCATACGTAGATGATATTCATGTGCTTTGGTTCTGTGTGTTAATGCTTCACAGGGAAGACGTGTTCCAATCTAACAACTACTGCATATATAAATACATTCATACTGTATAAGGAACTAATACTAATACAGTACTGTACATATATTTAAAATCCATAATCCACATGATTTTTTGGTTATGCTCAGTAATTCTTTTTTTAATAAAAGTGGCAGCGTTCATCTTTCTTAGCACATCATAAATTACCTTCTTTACTTGCTGTCGTCCTCTGTTATAGATCATGCTGGTTCCCTCTCATACAGGAACAGCACAAGCTTAAATCTGTATAGTATGCAAAAAGTTTTTTTAAAATTAATTATAGTTTTTTATATACTGTATGCGGTATTTTTATTATTCTTAAGCCCCAGCTTGGTATTTCCAGCGTGCACATCAGCATCAAGTTATTGTGGAGTGAACTGCAAAACAAATAGTTTGATTTGCTTGCACTGCATCAGAATTCAGAAGACATCTAGATTGGAAAATTTAATGACGATTTCAGTGAGAATCCTGCTGATGCATGATTTTGACAAACTAATTTCACTTATTGCTTCATGCACTTTTCAAGAAGTTCAATATCTGAATGTTTTCCTCAGTTTTGAACATCAGGCGATGTTAACCGAGGAGGCTGTATAGCAGCAACATGACAAGTTCAGGCTCGCGTGATGTCTGATAAATGCGCGTGTTGTGCGTTATCTCCAGCATGCTTCCCTCCACACCTTGGCCACGCTCCAACGAAACGTCGTTGCCCGAATATAATGTATATATACTGTATATGCATAGACTGTATTGTAATACTGTATTTCTGAAATATGTAGGATATATACCGTAGTATACCTGGAAAACAAGTGGAGCCTTTGAGAACATAAACCGAAGTGCTAAAGATTGTCTTCCTTTTTTCTCTTTGTTACTTGCCGCTTTGAACATCTTCTGGTCCATTATATTACCGAAACATTTGCCAGGATTGATTCGTAAAGTATTTGTGAATTCCAAAAATATTCAAAAATTTTCCAACGATGGAAAATTGGTCAGCTGTGTCGCATTTTGCCAGTAACTTCCTGACAAATCTTTCGCCGCTGCTCCCCGAAACCATTGGAACAATACACGTGATGAGAGGTAAAAGAAATAATACAGCTCCTCAGACTTATTTCTTTAGTTCAAATCTGGGAATTAAATTTAAAACATTTGCAATGAATTCACTGTAAAAAGTAAGGAAATCAAGAGTTTAAATGAAACCTTCCCATCAACGAGCTTTACATTTTTCTCTACATTTTACTGTAAATGAGAAATATTCTACACTTTACACAGTAATTGCATAATATATCCAATAATCTATCAGATGATCCCTTATATACAACACAGTACTTATTTATCCAGTATTTCTAGAAGTGATGTTTAAGGATTGGAAATTCATTTCCATAAACAAATAAGCACAATTTTCCCATTTGAAGTTTAAGATTTCCTATTTTTAAATTTTAAAAGGTACAAAAAAAGACAAATGCCCTATTTGAAAGGCCACAGAAAAAGCTTGAATTTCTTTATGGCTACATTTATATTTTGGCCTTACATATAGTTACTGAGCTATTGAATATCGAATACGTTTTTCTAAATGCTGTAGTTTGGAAACTTTTAAAAAAGGTATGTATTTTTCAAAAACATAGCAGTAGTATATAGGCATTTAATAATAATACTGTAAAATATACAGTACAGCAGTACAGTACAGTATTATTTGAACACAAAAATACTGTACTTTACTCAACATAAACCGAAAAAGAAACAATTGGTTCGAACTTCCATTTATTAGAACTTGATCACAAGTTTTTACCTTTCATATGCAATAGTTGTAAAAATTATTGAAGTTTGGCACTCAATCTGAAATTCTGTCTGAATCATTGCAGCATATAGCTATATGATATCCAGCATGAATTCTTTCGAAAGTGTCATAAATTTCAGTTGTCCAGCATCACGAGGACATATTTGATACTGAAAAATTAGTTCTTCCTGATTTAGCTGAATAATTCATTACATGTGATAATAAAATAAAAAGTTAAAAACGTGAAACAATTTTGATGGCACGTATTGTATTCCACTCTTACGGCAATTTTTTCAAAAATATTTAAAAACGAAAGAAAAGGCCACAGCCAAAGTTTTCAAGACATCTCTCCCGCAAAAAGGTTCATTTAGTATATTTGCACAGCACCATCAATAGCAGGAAAAAAAAACTTTTCAATGGAACATTGGGGTCGAGAAGAACGTGGATTTTATTTTTCGAAAAATTTTTAAAACAACCCTCGCGAATCTCGTCTTCGTGGGGGCTTTTTGCGGGGGGGGGGGGGGGGTTCTAATTTTAAACTCGACCTCTGTGGGTCTGTTTTGCTGCTTCCGTGCCCCGTCGTCGGTCAAACCAAGTCCAAGAGCACCAGTCCCATAAGTTCCCCGACTTCACGCACAATATTTCATAGAGTGGTGTGCTATTTTTTTTCCGCGTTCGCCAAAATTACGTGCTTTTCGGACTCAGTTTTCATCCTTTTTTTTTTTCTCCAAAGAAAAATTGATAGCTGACTCGAAAATCGTCCTGAATGATGTCGAATATTTGGGGCAGAAAAAGTCCGTTCGACATCCTACGGGCTATACTTTGAAAATTGAACTGCTTTCACCACAATTAAAGTACTAAGTTTATTTTTTTGAGATCAATTATTCAACTGGTTCTTGTATTTTTTCAGCAAATGCCCCTGTATTTGGTTGCAAAATTATTTAATGTCACCTGCTGTGCGTCCTAAACTCAAAATATAGTCCAGAACCAGGTTTTTTTTTAAAATACGTTTTCATGTGAAAAACTGCGGTATAAAGAACAGGCATTTTAAAAAGATCAGAAAAACATAAAAAAAATTTAAGGAGAAGGTTTGAAGTGAGTAAGAAACGCTCGAAAGAGGAAACGGAAATTATTTTCAGGAATCCTAAACAAAGCATTATTGAGAATGCAGAACAGTTAAAAACAAACTTTTGCACAAATGAAATAACTATTTACGAGGAAGAATACTTTGAAAATTTTAGGGTTTGTATGTATATAGGTCATTATATACCAACCTCATGTCGATAAAAAGAAGGTGGTCCAACATAGGAAAAAGTACTGTGTATAGATTTTTTTTTGGGCATTTGTCTTTTATTTTCTGGATGTGCTTATGCATATTCTCAGCAATGACCATGAATACCATAGTACGAGTCTATAATTTTTTGAGACACGAACTTCTGCCAGACTCAAATTTTGAGAACGTGCTTCTCGCAGGATTCAACAATCGTCAATAATTTGACACTTGTCAAAAATTTTTCCAAAGATTATAGATGAGACAGTACTGCAGTTAGAGTACTGAAAATTGAGCACCCAAATTTACAGTCTGCTTAAATGTGCTCGATTCCGGAAGCCAGGCAAGGCCAGCTAAAAATTCCCATGTATAGGTAATGGTGTCACCAAATTTGATCTTATCTCGAAACAGTGGAAAAATACGGTCAAGATAAGACGGAGAGGTCTTCAGTGCATTTTAAAAACCTGCATGCAATTGAAGTTACGAATTGCATGATGGAAATCAATCGAAATTCCTTTCGAGCCCCGGCGTGTTTCGAATTTAAATACATGTACTGTACTGTAAATTCAATATTCAACTTTGAGAACCCGTGAACAATTTTTGACAGTGGCACCACGATTTGAAACACTAATGTTTCAATTGAAGAGAAGTGTTGAAGATATTTTATTCAGTGATGATTTCATTCATTTTCTACTGCTTGTCCGGAAACCTGTTGATGTAATTCAACAGTTTCACTTTTCCAACGCAAACGACTGAACAGGTGTTTGTTTGGCAAGTGACAAATGCCAAACCCAGGATTCGAGCAACAATAAAAAAAATGAACATACAGTATTTTCAACCAACGATTGGACAAGGTTTGGAAATTTCCTGATATTAAAAATGCTAAAAGAAACAATGATTTTTCTCAGGATCAAAGATAAAAAAAGGGAAGTGAGTGCTGCGTTGAAGGTCTAGATTGCAAATGAGCAAATGTCCAAATCACAGATTTGCATGAATATTATTCAACCAGTAAAAAAAAAAGGCCACATAAGTGAGACAGCGATACTGAAATATAGTTTGCATCACTTTTTTTTTCACGCTCATTTTGCACGCTTTAGTTCAAGAATTTTTCTAGCATTCCAGGCAATTCTTTAAGATAGAATTAAAATACTGTACCGCGAATGCTTTTGTCAAGGCTGTCCTTAAAAATTTGACAGCAATTTCACAATCTTCAGAGGAAATGGTCCAAAAAAAGTGACAGAATTCTTGGGGGAAAATACCAAGAAGCAAATTTTCAGGACATATTGCAGTGGATCTAGGACAAATTGAGACAGAGCCAATTCAAGACAGGGCCAAAGTGAGACAGATAGCTTTTGGAGACAGGGAAAATTTGAGACAGACATTTTTTGAGACATGGAAAAATTGATAAAAATAAA